GTGCATACTAAATATTAAATATAAATATTTAATATAAATTTGATGATTTGATGAAATATAGTACCTGATACGCATATCAAGTGCGTGATGTAATCTAGGCCAATAAGAATGCTCATGTCATTTATGTGCAATAAAGCTTTCTTATAGAAAGTTCACAAAAACTTTTCATTATTTAATTCCAAAACACTTGATTTGACAACGTATTATATTTATCTACTTCAACATCGGTTTTTATTGTAATGCTGAATAGTTATTTTGTCGTTTTATTAAAATATTGTTAGAAATATAGGAATTTAACATAAAATTAATTATAAATATAAAAATTTAAAAATTTAAAAATGTTCGAATTGACAATCTAATTCGCGAAAAAGATTGTAATTCTTCATTTATAAATTTATTCTTATATTCTTATCATCTTAAAAAGTTGCATTACAATGTACTTTTATCGCAAATTAAGATAAAAGAAATTTTCTAATGGTAAAAAATAATGTTTACACAAATTAAGCAAACAATTAATCGTTCTTATTTCTCGTATATAAGAAGTATAACATATTCAGAGCTTACATTTTTTTAATGTTAATGACATAATTAAAGTATTAATGCATTAAATTAGCTGAGTATCTCAAAAGTTTATTACATTTTATGGCGTTAAATAATTTATAATAGTTTAATATTGAATTTTTTATTATGTTTGAAACAAAACATTGTACAAAAAAAAAACGATTTTTTTGTACGATTAATGAATAAAAATTGTTAGCTTACAATTAGAATTCCAGCTGTGTAAAGAGAATAAAATTACTGTTTTGTCGTTTCACTTATATCCTGTTCTTCCAGTTCCTTGATTCTTTTCGAACGTTCATGCACGATATTTTTTAAGTTGTTATAAAACTCCGAATCTGCAGCAAAAAAGCGTTTGAAATCACGACGATGTAAGCGCAACAGCTCACACACTTCTAAAGCAATAACTGATTCTTCTCTGCGGTGATTCGGATAAATCAAGCTAGCTTCGCCAAAGTGATCACCATCGTGAAGATGATATATCTATAAAGAATATCTTATTACTTAACTGTAATTTTAAATAAAGAATAGGATAGAGCGCGGCTTTTTCATTTATTTCTCACGATCGTGTATGTTTCTTAACAGCATACTGAACATTTAAAGGTCATACTTGTGTTCTGAAACTGTCACGAATATAGTTATAAACATATTATTGCAAAAAGTTATTGTTTGTTGTCGTAAATTTTATATTACCTTAAGGTTGGAAGTAACGAAATAGTCCCGCTATATCTTAAATTTATTTTTTTTTTCTATGTAATTTTCAGTTACTTCTTTCCCGGAGAATGTGATCAGTGCAACGGTTCCACTAGTTATAAAATACATATATTCGCCTTCAATACTGGCTTTGTAAATTATATCTCCCTTGAGATATATCACTTGCTTTAATGAATCTACAACAAATCAATTTATCATTAAAATAAAAATCAGTTTTCGAAATAAATAATAATCGGAAATGGAAAACGTATACAATAGTATACAATAATAAGATCGCAATTGTCTTTAAACGATGTTAAAACATTTATGATAAATGTTACACCATTTAGCATTACATTAAAATAAATATAAATTAAATTTAAGATGGTTAAATAACGATTTAATAAAAGTTATAAATAAAAAATTTAACAATAATCAGAGATTATTGGCGTTACATTCATAATAAAATGATGATATGATCAAAAGTAGGACTTAGGAAAAAAGATTACCCATTCTAAACCATGTACGTAGTACAATGTTTAATATTGATTAACTTCTGCAACTGTACGAGATTAATATATTGTGATCACGAACACTTAACATTAATAGAGATGTGTTCATGACCAATCAATTTAATAAATCAATTTAATAAATGTTATCAAAAAGATCAAATATATAACTACAATTTTGATTTATTTTTATGTGCGGAATAGTATACCTATATCTCATATTTTATTTAGAGCACAACTAAATAGAAGAAGTCAGTACATTAGTTAATGTTTTAGATAACATGCATGTCCAAAATTAGAATATAATAAGATGTATTAATGACAAAATGCTCCAAAAATTCCTTAATGTTTTTAAGGAATTTTATGTCTCGATTTTGTACATGATTCTGTCTGAGATACTTATTTTATTAATTGTTATTTAATTAACAAAAAGTAATAATTAATCTTTATTAAATTGATGTAAAAATGATAATTTTGTGTTAACATATGATCAAGAATATTTATGTCTTTAAATGTTATTTAATTGACTGATATTGAATAATGAAAAATGATAATTGACATTATATCGATACTTAACAACTTAAATAATAAAGTTTATTACAAAATTCAGTTGAAAAACACTTTGTTTACAATTATTATTAAATTTGAGACAAATTATAAATGCATCTGGTAAAACAATAAGTATAAACAAACAAAAAATTTATGACTTGAGAAAATTTTTTTTAGATATCAATATAATAATAATAATAATAATATCAATTTAAAATTAAAATTACAACGCAAGATCGAAAGATTACGTCAATGATACATAATGTCTTCAATAAAATGTAAATATTAAAATAATTTCCATGTAACTATCGTTTTACTTGATGTTAACATGCCTAGTATTTCAAAATATGCTTGCTACCCGGAGTAGTAACAATTAGTAATACAATATTAGTACAAATAGTATAGCAATAACAACAAATATTATTATTATTAATACAGAAGAAAAAAATTACTTATTAAATCACTAAGAACATGACGGGGCAAATTGCGAAGAACCATAATATCTAGCAGTCTTTGACTACCATGGAATAGAATTTCTTGATTTAAATGACCTAAAAGAATATTGGAAAACATAAGAAGAAAATATATACTTTATAAGCTTTATACGCTATAAGCCTTCATTTTAACATCTTAGAAATTAGTTAATAATAATTCAATTCATTTTCTTGTTTTTAACTAACCCGAAAGAATACCAAATATAATATTCTCTTGGAAGAAACAGTCAAAGTAGCGATATTTGTAATAAAAAATCAGCTTGTTTTGTAAATATAGCGGAAGCTTCTTCTGATGAATGTATTCTTTTACTTCGTGTATGATTCGTTGATATCTGAGTTTTGGTTTGACAGACGATTCCAAGAGTTGCAGCATCGTAACTGCGATAAGAACTTTCTTACTCGAATTAATTTTTTTATTTTATTTCTATTTGAGTAAATGTTTACTTTAGAGAAACCAACTCCAATGATCTTGACCTTGACATATGTTATCATGAGTGACCTGCAACAAATTTTAATTGGTGGACGTTATTAACAAAAGAAATTTAAAAAAATTACGTCTCATTCCTGCACAAGCGACTCTCATCCCACTTTCCTCCCTGCTTAGGGATGCATGACTTCCACGCGAAGCGCAATTTGGCGAGATGGAGTGGAACTCGCTTCGCATGGACAATCGTATGCTTCTGGACAAGGAAGAAGAGAATTGCTTCGCGTAGAAGTCGTGCGCCCCTCAACAGAGGGAGAGGTGGGATAGGAGTCGCTTTGTGTAGGAACCGTGTGCCCCTAAGCAGTAATTATTTCTTCAATTTTTTTTGTTAATAACTTTTTAAATTAACAACTTTTACGATTAACATTTACGAATAAGTTAATAACTTTTACGAATAATGTCCACCAATTAAAACCTGTTGAAAGTTACTCAGGATCATGATCTTGGTCACATTAATCAAGATCAAGGTCATCGGAGCTGGATCCCCTAAAGTAAACATTTACCTATATTTAAATAAAACGACTAAAAGATAACATTATCTTAACAAAGAAATTACTATGAAATATTAGAAATTTAACGTAACAAAAAATGATTTAATACCAATCAAATAAATTATGTAGCCTTTTCCCAAGAGAAGAAGTATGCTTCTTATTATTATGTCCAAAATACCAAAGTCTTTGAATTCTATAAAATTCGAACCTATAAAATTACTTATGCCAATATGCACAAACATTAAATAAACTTCCCAGTCGGATATATTATGAAGTTTTATCGAAATATAAGTTGCATCTGAATTCTGAAATTATTCCATATAAATAAGGAGATAGTTTATTATTATTTTTTATTTATTCAGTGTTTTAATTACAAAGTAATTTAAAATTTTCTTGACAGATCAATTCACTTATAGAAATCACCGTACTTCCAAAGTTTTTCCTTGTACATGCATGACGATATATGGAAAAACGTAACTTATACAGCTACTCCAATGAAAAATTAATAATGTTAAAATAATAAACCATATTATTGTATGTTGAGTTTGAGAGATCCTAAAACTCTATTAAAAAATAATACAAATTAATTAATTTATAAAATTCAAAACATTAATATTTAAATGATAATTATATAATTATAAGTTACTGCATTGATGTGTTGAACATTTTGTCGTACTGTAGATATGCGAATCAATTTTAAAATAGGCAATAATTCAATTATAAGTAATATAGAATTTGAATTTGGACCAGGTGGTAAGATAAGTGTTGGGTAAAACCATGCATATGGTATCGAGCTGATAACGTCAAAGAAGAAATATCCCTTTATATAACGTCTGCTTAAATATACAATTATATAGTTTTCACTTTATATATTTAAATAAGTAGAAAATAATGAGAAATAACGAATTTAATCTTCCAGACAACACCATGTAACATAAAAATAACATTAGGTAACATAAAGGCATCATTTAATGATCTTTTAAATCATCATACTGTAAGATATTTTTAAAACATTTTTAAAATATTTAAGATTTTGGTCTTACATCTCAATTTTGGACATACGTGCTGTCTGGATCGTAGCTTATCATGGCACAATCACCGTGCTATTAGAGTAGTATCAAGAAAAATCTCATGTCCATCTGAAGATACAAATCCAGTAATAAAATTAAAAAATATGTCAATAATACAAACGGAATAAATTGGATACACGATATTCCAATATTCAGGACCGCTGCTTTTTCCAATCCTGTAGAAGCACACAATATGTGGAACTGTTACAAAAATATATAAAAACGTCACAGTCATTATTGTGTTCCAGTAGAATCTACGATAACGTATGCTCTGTTTTACATTTGTACTCACAAAAAAGTCAAAATTGATTTCTTAAATTTTCTTACCTTAATATACTATATGGATGAATCATCCATCGATAAGGTGATCTTGAATGTCTTCTCTTTTCAAGAGCAATAGCTGTTTGGCTGCGAAAAGTTAAACCTGTTAAAGGATGTCGAGCGGAAACAAGAACAAACTTTTGAAGATTTCGTTTCCACCGATTGTAAAACTTCGCGTTTGGGGGTAATTTCGGCAGATTGCTGCCGGATGTCCTCGGCAAGTCGCATATATGTGCGCGTAATTTCGTTCGTTTTATCAAGAAATTTGAGTCTCGAATTCTCATTCCGTATGTTAGTTGACCTGTCAATGATAGCAAGCAGAATAAGACGATCGCTTAAGATCTTAAGCCTTGTGTCCACGATGCTAGAAATCGGTCCGAGACCTCGGACGAAGAATTGATCAATCGTAATGATCATGCGATCAATTGTTCAAATGTGATTTGTTAATTGTTTCTCTGTCCAAGATCTCGGACGAATTTCTAGCATCGTGGACATCGGGCTTTCACGGGTATATTCACACACTGGCACAGCCGCATAAATGTATGCATAAAAAATTATCCAATTATCCGGGTTATCGCACAAAATGTATAAACATAGTATACCCAAACAGCATCGATTGTTGCGGAAAATTTTCAGAAATGTTTCAATCTTTCACATCTCATGTGCAACAATTCTGAAAGGATTATGTCATATAAAATATTCACCTAATGCACCTTTATGATCAGTTAAAATCCGACGAGCTATCGCGCGCAAATGTCAAGTAATTACAATATAATATTATAATTATATAATTATTAAATATACCATAATTTAACTGTTGACTAAAACACAACACAATATTTCAAAACGCATTAT